CCCCTGTGTACACTGCATGTTTTTTCCCACTCGCCACAGCACTGCTCCCTGGGAAAAGGGTGGTGATGGAAAATGGGCAGAAAAGCCGGAGTCTGCTCGGTCACAGGATATAATGAAGAACTTGGCCAGCCCCACTCCCTGTGCTATTTCAGGAGGAGCCACCCAGATGTGAAGGCCTGTGTTTTACTCCAGGGGCACAAAGCGTTGAGTCCAATTTGAGCCCTTCATAATAACACGCTGCTATAAAACATCCACTCATTTTGCAGAACACATCATATGGAGCTGTCTTCATCAAACGGGAGACAAAAATAAGTCACATGGTCCAGCCCTGTAAAGACGGATGCCAAACTAAGCCAGTCCCACTGTGTCAACAACATGAAAGATAACAAAAGTGTTAGCAGAACAGCAAATACAATTTTGAGTTTTCAATTTTTGTTTTTATTCTAATCCTTTCAGTAAAGAGTTCATAGTTACATAATAGGACAAACTAGAGATGTAACAATATCCAAATCCCTTAATATGATAGTTTCACGATATGCATGTCACGGTACGATATTTATTGCAATATTTTGTGGAGTCTATGCTATTTTTTTCCTTTAAAAATCCCTTGACAGTAGGGATATAATGATATCCAAGTCTCACGATATGATATTGTCACGATATGAACCTTACAGTACGATATTTATTGCGATATCGTAGGAAAGCTCACGATATAGTGGAGAGGCTCACGATTAGGGATGTAACAATATCCAGTCATACAACAAAAACAATAATAATAGCCTTCACAATACATAATAGGACAAACTAGAGATGTAACAATATCCAAATCCCTTAATATGATATTTTCACGATATACATCTCACGGTACAATATTTATTGCGATACATGAATTCTGTGGAGTCTAACAAAACTGTGAACATGCTACTTTTTCCTCTTAAAATGCTTTGACAAGACTTAATCCAAAGAACTAAGACTTAAAAGTGTTAGAACGGTTATTTCTTCATGTAGTCTGCACTGAAATGCAGCAAAGGATCATGGTGTATGTAGTTCCCTCTGTCTTTTTATAGCTACTGTTGCACCATAACTCTTAATTTAAGCAAAGAGACTTGTAATTCAATATATTGTGATGTCCACGATATTATTGTGAGAACTCTGACGATACTATATCACAATATTTCGGTTATTGTTACATCCCTAACACAAACTAATACTATTAATATAATTGTCGTGATATCAAATTTTAGTAGTGAAAAGACAACATGATTCAACGATTATTCATGATTATTGACTCATAAATATAGACTGTATATATAAATGGATATAACTAACGCACTAGCCGCAGTATTTCAAACAGGAGGTTCGTACTGTGGGCAGCTTCTGCTGACCCTGGCTCCTATTGACTTACACTGAAATATTATGGTCTGTCTCTCTGTAACTGCTGCTGTAAGTGTCACCGTTTTGGTCTTAAAATGTTTGTATTAACCCGCTCTACATGATTTTTATTTCACTATTTTCTCTGTTTTAAAAAACCCTATTCCTAATATGAAACCTGGCTCCAAATTTGCTCCTATAACCACTAGCATCATGACCTTCATTTGACTGGAGCTAAACACCATGGGTGACGTCACACTCCCTTAGTCCACTTCTTTTTATAGCCTATGCTCATAACACATCAAAAGTGAAACCTTCTTTCATCTTAATACAAAAGTAAAGTTATTGTTATGTAAACAGCCACATAAAAAGAACAATAAATTTTTGTGGATATTGAATTGAAAATACTTAATTTTGCTTCAAAAATTGTCACAATTAAAAAATATAAATAATTCAAATCATTAAATCATGAAAATCATTAAAGTTGCTGACAGTTTAAAAATGTTACAGATATTAATTATCCTAATTTTAATGTTATAAATAAGTTCCATATTTAAACCACTTTTTTTATAATTTAACTTTGTCGTCAGTGAAAACAACAATACTATATATATAGCAGACATCATCATAGCTAAGTGGCTTTTTTCTGCACAATTCTGTTGAGATAATGGCCATTAGAGCTGGGTATCATTAAGAAGTTGCCGATACGATACACACTTCAATACATAGGCCACGATATGATACATATCTCAATACAGTGCACTTTTGGCTCGATACGATATATTTCAAATCGATTCAATACAATTCAATAATAAATTAAGGCTAAATCATGTGATACTGTGATATTAAAAGTGTTTGTTAAACCACTTCTTGTGCAAAGTTCATATGAAACAGACACATTTTAATCATCAAAATGAAAGTGATCAAAGTGAAAGTGAAAGTGAAAGTGAAGTGAAACTGTCTAATGTTTCGCATAAACGAGTTTCCTTCCTCCAAACAAACAACAAAACTGTACCAATGTAAAAAAAAATATTTAGTACAATATACCAAAAAATACTCTTGGCTATATATCGATACAGCAGCCCATGATATCGATAATGTATCGTCACATTAAACAATACGATATATCGATATTTTGATATTTTTGCACACCCCTAATGGGCCATTATTAAAATGATTCATAAAATGTGCCACGGAGGGGCTGTGCCAGACAATTTTGGTTGGAGGAGCTATGGGGAGGCTAAGTTCATCAATGGGGGTGCTACTAACATTAATATTAATTTAGAGTCTCCATCTCCTACCATGTTTGCTTTGCTTTGTAGTGATTTATAAAACCTAATATGGAATTATTGTTTTATTGTCTCATTTTAAACTCTGTAGTTGCCATTTGAGCATTTTTAGTCGAGATTAAACGGGGCAAAATGGGCAATAAAATCTTTGGGGGAGCTATGGGGAGCACTGGCCATTCTAGGTGGTGTAGTACTAAACAATATTATTATCGTTTCAACCCTACTCACGAACACTAAAATGTCTCCAGCTGCTGCACTGTTTTACACTGGACCGAGAAACTTCACCTCACTAAGGTAAAGTGTCCCTTGGAGATATGAAAGTCAGTGGTTTTCTGCTTTGGAGGCCCTGACCACATTCAGGGTGGATAATAGTAGCTTCACTCCTGCTGTATATAACCAGGCATTCATTTGTACTGTGTGTGAAGGTTTTGGGGTGTAGTAGTCCCATGTGCAGCTAAACACCATGTTCAATATTAGACTACAGGGTGGGGCAACAGGTCACGGCTAACCCTGTCATTACGCTGTTCCAGTTCTGTTTCAGTCCTGTCTATAGTCGTGGCCCCTTTTTCATTTAGTCCATAGTCCACCACAACTGGTTCACAAAGTCTCCTTAAAGATACACTGTGTAACTTTTCTGGTGGAGGGTTCATCGAACGCTTTCCTCCATGGAGATGCTGTTACTTTGTCTGGAATAAACCTTTCTATCTTCATCGAGACCAAACCAAGCCAAGTTACAGGTCAGATCTGTGGAGAGGCGACCCCCGCTCACAGTCAGAATGCAAGTTTTTCTAGGTATTTTTGAGCTATAATGTCACGTAGAGCTGTTTAATGTCACACTGTGGAAAATTACAGGCAGAGCAATGACGTATCCATAGAAACAAGCACGTGACGGACCCCCAACCAAAAAGTTACGTAGTGAACCTTTAAATAAATCAGCAAGTGCGATAAATTACTGAAGTAAATACAGACGATAAACGATAATATTGAAACCAAACCATAAAGCAGAATAAATCCCCCCAAAACGATCTAAAATTTCTATAAAGATTCTAAAAATATTAACTGTAATAAAGAAATGACAGAATGCAACACTTAAGTCATTAGTTTGTGTCTATAATGAGTCATAGAAGTTCATGATTCATACCTTGGCATCTTAAATCTCATTACAGTACCTAAAAGTAACCTAAAATGTCCCACTAATACGAAGGAAAAGTACCAATGATGAATACTGGCCCCCAAAAAGTATTGTGTTTGTATTGTATATAATATTATCGTGACAGATCACATTCTCTTGGGTTGTTTACTAGAGATGATAAAGAGAGAGAGGTAAAATTAGGCTATTACAGATTTTTTGAGATGTAGTAAGATCATGGATCTGTAAGCAGTGCTGGGAAGAATACTTTGAAAATGTATTTAGTCACACAATCCTGAATACCTGTATTAAAATGTATTTTGTAGCGTATTCTGATACATGGACCAATCAGAGCACTGTGTTCTGAATACTTAGAACACTTTTACACAGAATTACATTTAAATTATAGTGTAAAGGCAAAACATAGGATTAAAAACAGCTTTATATTTGCTTTGCCATTTGAGCTGCTTTTCCTATCGCTGAAAGGAAAAGGAAAAAACACACATGCACAGGCTACAAGAGCAATATTTTCTATTTTTTCACACTGATTATGCGCAGTTTGGAGTCTAAAAGGTGTGATCAAGTACTGTCATGTATTCCTTTAATTTTAGAAAAGTAACAATATTCTGAATACCATTAAACTGTACCAAAATACTGTTTACATGAGTATTCTTGGTCATAAGTAGTATATGTCTTTTTGGATTTCATGTTTATTTGTTGTTTACAATCACAATCTCAACCCGCCTTCATCTAGCACTGTGACATCATCTCATTGTAGAATCTATAACAACCAATAAGCCCAATTTAGTTTGTTTATGATTGTTGTCCAGCTATTTTTCTTTACATCACAGTCTCTTTACAACTAAACATAACCAGAATGTGATAAAATATCGATTCTATTGCCAGTACACACTTGTAGCACACAAATTAAGAAAGACTAGCACTACCTGTATCCCAATTTCCACTGTGTCATTGTAGTAACTTTTCACACAGAGCCATGAAACGACCATGGAGGTGGCTTAGAATAAAATGGCTGAAAAGTTAGCTTAGTTGCATAAACACATCCCAGCTGCCTTCAATTTTAAGCTTTTGGATCCGTCCTTCATGCAACATCCAACATTACGCAGATATATGTGCGTAAAAATCACAGACCGCTACGTCAGGTTTGGCAGCGCTCGTGTGGCACGTGTTGCGTCGTGCCATCGTCCTACCTGCGCCCCCGGGCCTCCAGTCGCTGTTCCCCCGGTGCCCGCGCTGTTGCCTGGCCGCTCGCCGCTCACGTCGGACGGATCTGCATCATCACAGCACGGCGGCGCTCGATTTAGAGACGGGCGGTGCTCCTCCTCCCCCGAAAAACCACATCATCGCCACATATCCTCGCATCCTCCTCCCCGCAGCAGCAGCAGCATCCCGTTAGGTCTGGCATCCTCTTTAATTCACACAGCAACAGCCCTTTAATCAGAACAGAGCATCGCCCTCTAGATGGTAAAGATGTAACTACAAACTTGCCCAAGATTTTAATGAGGTTGCGTAAAATGGGGCTATTTAAAGGTATTCCAGATGCGTTGTGTGGCAAAAGTAGCCAATATTTTTTAAACATTTGGACGATGGATGGAAAAGAGCTAAACTAATCACTGACATAATGTTTAGATATAATTTTATATTTAATACAGATGGGGGCAGCTTAAAGTAAGAAGCAATATGGCAAGTTGTAGCGTATTTGTGACTTTACATGTTGATTTAATCAGAATTTATAATGGTGCTATAATAGGGAAAAACTGGCTCCTGCCCCCACATAATTACATTCTAGTGTCTGCACCACACGCCACAGTGAGTTTCAGATAACATCACAGCATTCTGCAATTATATTTAATAAACATGGGGAGTAGACAAATTAGTATTGTTCAAACGCAGATTTTTGTTGTGCTAGTCATGAAACTAATCACTTATAGAAACGATCAAGTTTAATTTTTGTGAATTTACCTTTTGGATATTTCATGGCAAAGTACAAAATAATCAATAAGGACATCTGTCTCGTGCCCCCGTATGACTTTCCAGAACCATGGAAACCAGAGTACGTCGCAGCGTGAAATCAAACCTACCGTGACATTTATATTAAAATAAATACGTATAAAATATAAATAAAGAACTACTCGGGAATCGTTTTAGCACTAACTTAAATAAAAATAAAAAATAATTTAATTGAATAAATGTCTAGACCGGAAATACGTCAGCGTCTGGGCGTGACGTGGCGCTTGAGTCTATGGGAAGCACTTCCTGGTTGACCGAGTGCCCAGCAGCAGCGCAGCGGCTCCATTCACAGGACACACCTGTGCCTAAAGCCCACATACCCTTTTAGTTTTGTAAATACACACCACGGAAAGCTCGTGTTTGCACAATATTAGCGCATTATAAGGTGCACCGCGGCCTGCTGATCGACATGGAGACGTATGGCAACTCGCACAAAAAGCAGAAACTAAGCAACGTCGACAGTGAGTGGGTGAGTGCATTTGCAAATCTGTGCTTTGCTTTTGGCTGATTCCTTTTACTTGTGTGACCGAGCTGAAATGCTGTCTGCAAGAATGACATGATATTATACGATCCAAGACTTGAAACTTAGCTCGTTAATCTTCTTCGTCCATTGAAAGGCCGTAGCGTCTTCACTGTGCAAATCTGCGAACCCCTGATGTTTGTTTAATCAAAGCATCCATGTGGAAACTGGTCGAAGATTCCTGTCTGAAAAGTACAGCTGCATAAATACTGATACTGTCATCTTAACATCTTATATATGTGCATTATTGTCACGTATCAAATATTTGTGCTTTGTGCATTTTATTCAACTTGTTTCGGCAGTATGGTGCAACATTAAAGGGCCCATATCACGGTATTCTGTGTTTTATGTTATAATGGTTTGTGTTTTCTCATCACAAACATACCTGGAGTTGTGTTTGGTTTCGTTCACATGTTTAACACACAGATCACAGATTTCTTCACACAGAGTTCTTCTCTCAAACAAGAACAGTTTAAGACTCTATAAATCTTTACTAGAAAAATTTGGATGAGTTCAGATCTGGAATTGCACATTTCTACTAAATAAAACATAAAAGGTACTTGAAAACGCTTGATGACATCACATTGTGGAACAGAGTATTTTGAGCTTTGGAGATGTAGACAGACTAATAATAACTAAGTAAGTCTTTATTTATATAGCTCTTTTCACAGACATATGTCACAAAGACACTTGACAGAGCATTATAGATTTGTTATTCTTTCTCTCCACACCTGGTGATGGTAAACTACTATTGTAGCTACAGCTGCCCTGGGGCAGACTGACAGAAGCGCAGCTGCCATGCCAATCGGCGCCATTGGTCCCTCTGACCACCACCATCACTCATGCACACACACCACTTTGATACTAGGCAATGTGGGTGAAGTGTCTTGCCTAAAGACACAACAATAGTTTTTTTTTGTAATGCTCCACTGTGGCACCTGATTTTCCCACTGGTCTCCCATCCAAGCACTGACCAGGCCCGGCCTTTTTTAGTTTCTGAGATCTGACGGGATCAGGCTTTGACAAGCCGGTTACTCAAACATGTGATGTGAAACAAAACACAACTCCAGGTCCGTTTTTGGTGACATAACAACATTCTAACATGGCTTAAAGCTTGAGTCAATGCTGTATGATATAGGGCCTTTAAACAAAGATTAATAATAGTAATATAATATGTGATAAAATAAAAACAATTAGGGAATGCCTTAAACACGAGGTAAATAAAATAATATAATGTATGTGTATGTAATGGGCAAAACAACAGTGCAAAGTAGATAAAAAATTATGGTTCAAGTAAATTGTTTAAAGTGACAGGTGTTATAATGTTTTCTTTAACAGTCCTAGATGTCAATCATGATCTGTTGTTTACAGGGGACCCAAAGAGCAACAAACGTCACCTACCAAGCCCACCATGTGAGCAGAAATAAGCGTGGACAGGTAGTGGGCACTCGAGGGGGCTTCAGAGGATGCACAGTGTGGCTCACAGGTAGGCTTTGGCTATGGCTATGGCTAAGGCTGTGTCCCAAAGTCTATGTGCTTTGCCTAAGAAGTACCTTCCAGAGTCACTTCCACTTCCACTCTAAGCCAAGTGTATGTCCTTTTTTGGGGTAAAGGACACATTTATCAATTCTAAAGAGTGCAGGATCAAAAGAGGTAACACAAAAAGGTCAAGGATATACTTCAAAAAGGTATTTTTTAATATATTTTTTACTGCTCACCACTGTGACGTTTCATCTGACATGAACTGTAACATGCACACAGATGCTGTATGTTGGGTTTGAAATGACATCAGAGGCCAATGATATTTAATACAGATGGCTGGCATTTAGAATTCATATTTTAAAATTTCAGATTACTGTAATTGTAATTGTAATACAGTGAGTTAGTAATGGAAATGATCAGCTTCAACGTTTGTGAATTTGCCTTTCTGATATTTCATGGCAAAGTTCAATGTCTCTCGCCTCCAAAGGATTGGACAGTCCCTAACATTTATAACAGTTTAACACAAAGGATTCGTTTTCTCGGATACATCTTAATTTGATATATACCCCCAGATATATAAGGAAGTACAGTATACACTACACTTGATACACTACAAATATATTTACAACAGAACATAGAGGGCAGTTCTGTAGCTCTGCAAATTATTAACCAACAGCATAAACACTGAAGTTAATTAAGCCAACACTGAAATTGATTGTTTCCATTTCAGTTTTGATAATGTCAGTGTTCAGTGCCTCACCAAAACGTCACAATGGTTAGCAGTAAGGCTGGACAATATGGCCAAAAAAAACCCCAACTTTTTTTTTTTTTGCAAACACTGGATGATAACAATTTTAATGGAAGCAGGGACTGCTTGTCTTTAAACGGCAGAATCCTTCAGTTACATTTATCTAATTGTAATTGCACAATAACTTGTTTTGCAAGGTAAATCAGGTTTGAACTTGTTTCATCATAATCCTCATTTTAATCATTCGATGAACTGCCCACCCCAGTTATCAGCAGTAGCATTTTTGAAGCATACTAGCTGTGTTCTTGATATTTAAATTTGCATTATATAACTTTTCTGGTGAAGGGTTTGTCAAATATCTTTCTTCATGGAGATGTTATCACTTTGTCTGGAACGTTTCAGTGTGGCTTTAAACATTTCTATCTTCATGGGGACCAAACCAGACCAAGTTACAGGTCAAATCTGTGGAGAGGCGACCCCACTCACAGTCAGAATGCCCATGTTTAATGTCATATTCTGGAACATTCTAAGCAGAGCAATGACATATATCGATTGAAACAAGAAGGTGATGGACCCCCAACTGAAAAGTTACACAGGACACCTTTAAGTGTCCTTCCCGTCCTTTGATATTTAAGTGTTAAAGAAGTGTTGAAGAAGAAGGGTATTTGAGTTTGTGATCTTCCTCATTCTCCTTTTGTAGATTAATTAATCAAATATATACTATCTCTCCAAAAATGCATTATTTGAATATGATATGCAACAAATAAACCTCATGTGGGTGTATATCAGCGCCCTCCTTTCAGCTTGTAACCATTGATGTCCACTCCTGTGCCAGGTCTGTCTGGAGCAGGGAAGACCACCGTCAGCATGGCGCTAGAGGAGTACCTGGTGTGCCATGGGATTCCCTGCTACACTCTGGACGGGGACAACATCCGTCAGGGCCTTAATAAAAACCTCGGCTTCAGCCCAGAGGACCGTGAAGAGAACATCAGACGCATTGCTGAGGTGGCTCGTCTTTTTGCTGACGCGGGCCTGGTCTGCATCACCAGTTTTATCTCCCCGTACAGCAGGGTCAGTAAAGCACAAGGGTATTTGAGCCACTGCACTTGAGTTGTTCTTTACTTTATTACGATGTCTCCCGTTGCTGCCTTTCAGGATCGTCTCAACGCTAGAAAGATTCATGAAGCTACAGGACTGCCATTCTATGAAGTGTTCATAGATGCTCCTTTAGATGTGTGTGAACAGAGAGATGTAAAAGGACTTTATAAAAGAGCCAGAGCAGGGGAGATAAGAGGTAAGGATGCAACTGTTAAGATGATGTTACCTCATCAAAAGCATACCTGTAGTTCATGTTTTGTTTCATTCACACATGTTTGAATAATCCCGGATTCCCATAGAACTCAAAATGCTCTGTTCCACATTGTGATGTCATCAAGTGGTAGTTTTCAAGTTAACAGTGTCCTTTTACTTTTTTGTTCAGTTGAGATTGGCAATTCCAGGGTAGTAGAGCATTTCCTCTATTATCACATGACATAACAAGGTGGAACAGAGTGAAAAAAAAAACCCCAACCCCAGGTATATTTTTGATGAGAAACAACATTGTAACAGAGATTAGAAAATGGCGTAAAATGGGCCCTCTAAACAGCCACAATGCAATTACCGGATTACAATAGTTCAGATACAAGTGCCTGTAACATAGTGCATTGCAAGGCACTGTCAGCATTCAATTAAACTGAAAATAACTCTTTATTGGTACTAACAGATACCGTAATAATGCTTATTCTATTGGTGTTTGCTGTTATTACTTTGTAAATGTCTTTTATATTGATTTTGTGTCTTGTGCCTTAATGCTCCGTAGGCTTCACTGGAATTGACTCTGAGTATGAGAAGCCAGAGGCTCCTGAGCTGGTGCTAAAAACAGACTCGTGCAGCGTGAACGAGTGCATTCAACAGCTGGTCGACCTGCTTCAGGAGAGGGTGAGAAAGACGTCTGAGAAACTACTGTGGAGATTTTTATGTGTATAGCCTTCACAAAATGACACGACAAAGGATAGAATTTCCCTTTGTTTTATGGTTATGTACCACTAGAGGGCGTAATTGTATCAGATTTGTTGCCATTCTGCACTATCATTTCTTTTACCACACTGCCAACAGCTAATACTATTTTTTTCCATAATCTGTGTCATATTTACACTGTAATTATAGACGTTCATCAATATGCACTGTCCATATCAAATAAATTAATAAAATAATTTGCATTTATGATTGTTTTTAATGTTCATGTTTGTTTTTTTTTCCAGGACATTGTGCCGATTGACGCTTTCCATGAAGTGAAGGAGTTGTATGTGCATGAGAACAAACTGGATCTGGCTAAAGCAGATGCAGAGACTCTCCCCGCGGTGCAGATTGGAAAGGTGTGTCCATCATATTTGTAACTGTTTTAAATCCTTTAACTGAACCTTCATGCTCCCCTCTGTTTGTGCCTCAGGTCGACATGCAGTGGGTCCAGGTCCTGGCTGAAGGCTGGGCCACTCCTCTCAATGGGTTTATGCGAGAAAGAGAATACCTACAGTGTCTTCACTTCGACTGTCTGTTGGATGGTAAGATGATTTATAATACGCTGTTTTTATTACATGGAAATATTAAGCACATTTTTACTAAGTTGATTAATTAAATGGCCCATATTGGACTATTTTCTCTGTTATAATGTTGTTTCCTGATCACAAACATACCTGGAGCTGTGTTTTGTTTCATTCACACATATTTAACACACAAACCCTGCTTATTTATTCTTCTCTCATACAAAAACTACTCTGTTCCACCTTGTGATGTCACCTGGTAAGTGAGGAAGTGCTCCACTGTGAATTTAAACTCCAAACACTTTCACTAGAATCATTTGGATAACTTCCGATCTCTACTGAACAACAGACAAAAAGTAGCTGTTAACTTGGAGAGTACCACTACCTGACATCACAAGGTGGAACAGAGCATTTTGAGTATGGGAGATATAAACTGACTAATAAGGCTTACTCAAAAGTGTGTGAATGAAACAAAACTCAACTCCAGGTATGTTTTTGGTGAGATAACACATAACCAAAATGGATAAAAGCTCACAAAAGTCACAAAAATAGGACCTTTAACTAATAATGGACTATTTGCAATTGCAGATTAACACAAATTGTAGTGGTCATTTAAGTTTGTCTGAAAACACAAAATGGATTTAAACAAGACATTTTCAGGAGCCTATGATCAGTATGAGTGTTCACGGTCCTGTTTAGGTGTTAAATTTTCAGCAAAAAATGTGAGCGTGACAAACTGAAAAACTGTTAAAATTAGTATCAGACTTGTTTAACAGCACAAATCATCTCGCCTGTAGTTCCAGCTAAATCAGCTCTTTCTGGTCAGATTAAATTAAAGATTAGATTAAAGTCTAATTTGAGTAACATCTTCAGACTGAGCAGTGCCTCCAGATAGCATCACACCCCCAGGGAACGTTGATGACATCAGCTGTAAAATATCAATACTCATAAAGCTCCTCCCTGGGATTTAATATTGGACTGTGTTATCATTAAACAGCTGCTTGCCCCAGGGTTAGGCTGTAAAACTAGTTGGGAATTTTACAAATCAAACATTTGGCATCAATAAACACAAATCTCTTTTTAGGGTTTGGGTCGCACACGCGGACTTTGGTTATGTGTCACTGTTTATCTAATACATCTGGAGGCGCTGCACTGCTGCAATGGCCTTGAGACGGTGTTGGAGTGTAGACTGCACAATATATCACTAAGACTTTTGGAGTTTTTGCTATAGATTTTTGTAGGGATGCAACACTTATTCAACTATACTAAAAAAAATATATAGTTCAGTGTTTCCCTTTTGATTCAGACTATGGTGGCATTGTAGACCTGTCTCATTAGAAAAACTGAAATGTTAAGACATGTTTTGTATAATTTCTAACCTTTTTGTAATTATTTTATTGACTGTTTTGTTCGAGTATTGCTGGTTCAATTGAATGTTGAAAAGAAAAAGAAATGGGCTACATTTAATGTCCAAATAGGTGACTTATGGATCCTTTTATTGCTGCTTCAATTACTGTTTTCCAGTGTTTAAAACTTGAGTAATACTAATTGTTCAAAGACACACGATCACTCAGTCAACATAAAATATCCTCATTAATGTTCAACAGTGGTCAAATCCACCTTTATTTTATGATTTATGAAGAATGTCTATTGACTTGGGTCACGAAGGTTTGTGACTTTTAAAATATGAGTCCCCAGAAAAAAAACAACAGTTTGGGAAACACTTGCATAGATTATATGGATATAATAACACTTTCTCCTCCTTGTAATTGACTTGTCTTAACCTGCTCTACATGATCCTGGCATTTTTAATTTCGCCATTTTGTCCTTTAATAAATTCCTGTTCCTAATATGGACCTGGCTCCAAATTGAAGCTCATAATTAGCCTTGTGAGCTTCATTTGACTCACACTCCCCTAGTCCCACTTTATACAGTCTATTCTATTCTTACATTTTAGGTGGGGTCATAAACCTGTCTGTGCCTGTGGTGCTGCCAGTGTCCAGCGCAGATAAGGAGCGACTGGATGGAGTGACCGCCATGGCGCTGGTTTACGAGGGCAGACGTGTGGCCATCCTCCGCAACCCCGAGTTCTACGAGCACCGCAAAGAAGAGCGCTGCGCCCGCCAATGGGGCACCACCTGCAAGGACCACCCCTACATCAAGGTGAGCCCCGAGGGAGAACGGTTTAGTCACACAAACAGAAAACCTTAGCCAAGAAAAATCTAAAACACAGTATATTTAAGATTTTGCTAAATATTTTACACTTTATTTCTCAATTTTTTATTTTTTAGGTTTAAAATTATGACATAACACTTGGGAATTCTATAATTATTACCTGACGACCATTTGGACACTAGGTTAAATCTCCCCCAATGCACATAGACATTATAATTTGACAAATACAACGATAAGAAAACTTTTATTGACAACCGATATTATCCCACCAGATAATAAAAATTTTAAAATCATCAAGACCTGTCATACGCACTGTTTTGAGGGATTATGTCGACAGTGATGTTCAGGCAGAAACGTGCTAAAACGTGCCCGTAAGTGTATTTGATAGGGTTGAAGTATTACATAAAACATGATGGGACCACAAAAGAAATTAAATATCACATTACTCTACTGAGAAAGATTACATGGCAAGTTTGTTGTATTTTCAATTTTAAAAACTTCTAATTTTGCAGCATTGTTTAACTTTTATTTTCACTATAGAGCAGGGGTCTCCAACCTGTAGCTCGGGAGCTACCAGTAACTCTCCAACCATTTACAGGTAGCTCGCCAAGGGATTTCTGAATTATATGTATTGTAGTAAATAACTCAAATTTAATTCATTACCACTGTAAATGTGTTATTTTGAAGTTTGTGCACAAATACCGTATTTTCCGGGCTATTAGACGCGCTCTTAAGCCTCTAACCCCATCAAAGAACGACCGCGCGCCCTGCAATCCAGAGCGCCCCATACACGAATCCACTCGGGTGTCCCATCATGACTTCAGTAAACTACAAAGCCGCACCACCCGCAGCGCACGCAAACACACACGGAGCAGACAGCGACTGCGCAGCAAAAAACACCCACAGCTACACTCATCACTCCACGCGGACAAGGAACGGAACGAAGGAACGAACCAAAAAAGCGAGTCCAATGAGCCTTTCTGAGCCAGAACTGAACAACTGAGTCACTGTGAACATGCCAACAATCCAGCGGCCCCAGACAGCACCCTCCCTACACGCCACAACTGAACAAAGCCCAGAGTCACCGTGAACATGACAAACAAAGTCCCACTGACCCATCCAACTGTTGTGTTTCGTTTAAAGTCCAGTGCGGTTTATTTGTGAAAAAAGTTAGAAAATAGACCATTTAATGACAGTGCGTCTTATAATCCCGAGCGCCTAATGGCCCGTAAAATACGGTAAATGGATAATAGCTTAATGTTTTCTAGGCATCTAACTATACAACATCTAAGGCTTGCCCTCTTATAATGACTTCTATTTCTTGAAACTGCTAAAATGAGTAGCTCTCTGGCATTTTCATTTTCTAAAGGTAGCTCACCGGACCCAAAAAGTTGAATATCCCTGCTATAGAGCATATACTCCATATTCAAATTTTACATATCTACAAAAAGTACAAGTAAGTTGCGGTATTATATATTTTTTTATATATATTTCTCCCACCTCTAACTCATAAGACACTGAAATGTTGGACATTGGGTCATCCTAATGTGGTAAATGGCTCAGTGGTTGGAGCGTGTGCCCACTAACCTCAAGGTCAGCGGTTGAATGATCGGTGGTATTTAGGAGGGGCTGGTGGGGCAGATTGGCCGATTGTCTGACAGTAATTAGAATATAGAATGAAAGAATAATGACTCCTTCAATTACACTTGGTTTTACTGAAAAAATACCTAGAAAAACAGGCATTATGACTGTGAGCAGGGTTGCCTCTCCACAGATCAGAGCTGTAACTCGGTCTGGTTTGGTCTCCTTGAAGATAGAAAGGTTTAATACTGTGTGAAACATTCCAGACAAAGCAAGTAACATCTACAAAGAGAAAAGTATTTCACAAACCCTGCACCAGGAAAGTTACACAATACACCTTTTAAAGTTGTTTTAAGCATTATTATTATTTAACTGTACCGTCTAGACTCTATATGTTTATGCACTGTACAAGGCTGTAGTGATTTTGTGTGAAAGTGTGAGGAACATTGAGCATCTGCCTCTCCGGATGTCGTACTGACAGAACACAGAGCCGAGCTGTCTCCTCTCACAGCTGTGGAGGTCAGAGTTGGTGCAGAAGCAGATCTCTCTCCAAACACCTGATCTTTAAAGTTCATTCACATCTTGCAGTTCGTGGAGTCCCTCATTCGGCTGCTGCCACGTGTTGTGGTCGTTGTTTTAAAGGTGCATTGTGTTATTTTTCTGGTGGAGAGTACGCTGACTTTTTTTTTTTCTCTATAGGGAGATGTTATTGCTCTGCCTGGAACGTTCCACAGTATGACATTAAACAGATCTACTTTACATTGCTTTAGGTTGTTTTACAGCTCAAAAATACCTAGGAAAACAGGCATTCTGACTGTGAGCGGGGTCGCCTCTCCACAGATCTGACCTGCAACTTGGTCTGGTTTGGTCTCCATGAAGAAAGATAGAAAGGTTTAATATCATAATTGACAAAGCAATAACATCTCCATGGACCCTCCACCAGAAAAGTTACATAATGCACCTTTAAGATTAAGCCTTTGTTGTTAGAGGTGATTTTATTGCTCAGAAATATCTTTAAGAACATGCATTCTTGTGTGAGCAGGCCCGCCTCTCCACTGACCTGATCTGTACCTTGACCTCCTTGTCTGCACAGTGAAATTCTCCACACACTACAGGAGGATTTGCCTGATTGTGGCTGCGTTTTCCTTCTCCTTGAGTTCAGGGAGGCATGACCCAACTCTGAGCTGCTCTGTCAGATCATAACCACCAACCACATCAGCAACTTAATGGTAAAAGCCAATAAAATGGAGCATCAGAGGCAGACGGAGTGACGTACACAGAGAGATGCAAGATACAAACTCAGGAAATAGAAACTTTATTACTCACCTCTCGTAAACTTGTAAATATAAACTGCAGCATCTCATCCACATTATCCATGGAATTTGTCCTCCGCAAATGACATCCAGTCCACAAAACAGCACTATTAATCCAGTTTGAGGTTTTCTTTAAAAGTAAAAAGGCAAGATGGTTCCTCACGTGTGTCTGTGTACATCCACATAGTGCACAGATCGAGGTGAACCTGCAGATTAGTGACAGTGACTCTCCTTCCTGTGGACTTTATCTCTAATCTTTTATGCATTTAAAATCATTTATCTGAAGTATTGCACCACATTTCATAAGTAATAATAACACAGTTTGACCAAAATCACAGCATCTAAACTGCTACGTTCAGACTGCAGGGCTTAACGCTCAATTCCGATTTTTTTGTGAAATCCGATGTTTTTGCGAGGTCGTTCACATTTCCAATTAAATGCGACTTGTATGTGACTCCAGTGTGAACGTTAAACGGCCCGAAAGTGTCCCGCATGCGCACTGGAGGACACGACGACGTCAACCGCAGCGAGCGTGCTCTGTGTTTACGGAAGTTGTACAAACATGGACACGAGCATTGAGCACCTGGAGATTTTAAAGTTCCTCTCGTACCGGAGCCAGAACATGAACAACTTACTTGTTTTAAGGAGGAGATTGAGAAGGAGAAGGACGAGGTTTTTGGCTGTGGCGTATTGTGAGGCAGTGGCAGCGACGTCTGTTGAAAGGAATGTGTGGATGGTGGAGTGGTGAGTGGCGATGTGCTTCTCTTCAGTGACACAGAGTTCATTAACAATTTTCACCTACTTCAGCGCAGAATAGTGATGTTTGTGGCTTGTTGATAACGTGTAGGTTGGATGAATGCGCTTTGGCCGTTCAGACTAAAGTCGCATGTCAAAAGATCGGATATGTATCGGTTTCAGGACCACATATTCAAGTGGCCTGGGTCGCATTTGAAAAAATCGGATCTGTGTCATTCAGACTGTCATTAAAAGATCAGATACAGGTCGCATAGGGGCCAAAAAATCGGATTTGGGTCACTTCAGGCTGCAGTCTGAATGCAGTATCCTGATCTTTTGAACATGTAAGAGTCTCAAAGTTAGTGGTTTTACAGTAAACAGGAAACAGCGGACACAAGGTGCGTTCGAAACTTTAGTCAGTTTTACGCAGCCATATCCCGCAGCAGTCTTTGCGTCGATTTAAAATCTCGTAAGATATTCCTTGTGTCTGAGGTATGCGCTTTTTGTTGCGTGTTTAAAAATCTTTTAAGACCGAAAAGTCCTGTAGTGTGTGGCGGCCTTTGCTGTGAAAATTCCAGGCTGAACAGTTAAGTACATCTACATGGAGAATAGCATGTGGCGCACTTTTCTCAAGAAAAGTTACGTAGTGCACCTTTTAAAGTTACGTTTCTTATAGCATTGACCATTCTACACAGACCATAGTATCAGGGGTTATATGCAAAGTCTATGGGGGGTGCTCATCTTGTCTGATTTGAGTTAAAACATCTGAACTCTCTGTGAAATTCTCCATGCATCAACAAGTTTCAAGCTTTTGCCTTCAAAAGCAAAGGCGTCCAACTAGAGGCATTTGGCGAGATTTTGATGCTGTGGTCTGAACGCAGCATAATTCTTTCTCACATATACCACAAATTATTTCCATCTGTCTGCTATTTACTGATGTTGGTGGTAGGTACGTAGTATTGTGTATTATTATTTGTAATAAGATAATGTGCCACAATGATCCCTGTACCACACACAAACACAAACACGCACACCAACACACACATGGCTCCATTAAACCTGCCATCTGTCTGTAAGAGGAAGACTGAGGTGGCTGCCGATGCGAATACGTCAAATCGGTTTTGTACTGTGATCTTCAGGAATCACACAGAAGTTTAAAGGTCCTATATTATGCAAAATTGAACCTTGTTAACTTTATAATCCAACTTTATCTGTATAGCACGTTTTATAAAGTTTCGAAAGTGCTTCACACAGCAGTATAAAACATTTGACTCTAAAAAGTCAGCGGGATTATATTCCAAACAAAAGGAACTAATAGAATCAGTAGATAAAAGAAGAAGAAGAATAAAATCAGTGAAC